TGCATGTGCTTTCAATGAACCTGTTAGTGGTTGGCATGTTGTGTTGCTAGGTGTTGGCCCTAGTGTTAATGCTCTTAATGTTTATAAGATTTTTCTTAAATCTTAATGTAATTTTTGCCTAGAAATGAAGCACTTATTATATGACTGTCACTGAAGGATTGTTTTGATCAACAAGTGATTATAGCCAAAATTCTAAATATAGCATTGCCCAGAAGGCAACAAGTCATAGCACAAATTAAAAATATCAGCACTCGGGTAGTTTCCCCAATGTAAAATTGGCTTTGTATTATTTCACATGAGTCTTGGGCATTAGAATAAATCTTAAATCGGAGTATTTAAACAAAATTATAATGTCTAATTTTTTTAATATAGTTTTACTCAGAAGGTAAATCAAGAGCACTAATTTTATTAGTCACCCGTTATCTTGCCTCAAGCTCTCGATTATAGATATTTGATCTAAAAGGATTTATAGACCCTAAGTCAATCCCTGAAGGATATTTGGTGTATGCGGGTCTTATTGTCAATGGTCGTATTGTACTCCAGTAGTAGTACATGACAAAATTATGCTAAGTGTTTGGTCATTGGGCTATTTTTTTTAATAAGGTCTGGAAGACCCTGAATGTGGATTGATCTTTAAGGTGACTAATGACTCATGAATGAAGTTTGCAACTTCTATTTCTAATGTTATGCTACTCTCCAAAAGTCAATATTGACTCACATCATGTTGGTTTGCCTGAAGCAAACAAGTTGTGATTTTTTTTTACACATAGTAATCACTGCCTAAAAAATTCTGACCGGCGCAGTTTGAAAATTAAATTCGTGAAAAATACTTGTTGAACTCCTTTTGGCATGAAATATTTTCTGGAGAACCTAGACTCGTGATATTTGATGTCTGTAAAAATATTTTGTTAAAAATATTCTTTGGTTATTCCAGAAAAATTTGTAAAGTTTTGGCAGTGTGCTGCCAATTATTTTTCTGCCTGGAGCAATGTTGAGAAAAATTTTGGGAAAAATACTTTTAGACCTTGGATTGGAATGAAAATTTTCGTGTACATTCTAGACTTGATGAACTACATATCTGCAAAATTTTGTGCCAAAATGTGTTACCATTTTTTCCCAGAAAATTCTGAAATCCAGGTCACAATTCTGAAAATCTTTTGCCATTTTCAGCTTGTATATCTTGTTTTTTTGTGATGTTTTCATGCTTGTATGAAACTATGAGATAAAATGAGAGATTTCTTGGAAAAGTACTATTTTTGACTCCCCAAAATAGGAATGAATGGGCCCGGCAACAAACATATGCTCATTATTTTTCGGCGAACGGTACATCTCTCATTTTTCTAATTTATGAATTAATTAGAATATCTCTTGTCATGTCATGCGTTGTGTGTACCAAATATGATGTGCATGACTAAATTGAGTTTTTGGTGTCCAAGACATAAGGGACAATTATATCACATATTGCATGTGCTTCTCTTTAATTGACATCATTTAAGCATATAATCTCTTGATTATGTTCATATAAGAGATTTTGTTATTTCTCTTGTTGGCAATTTATGATTTGTTATAGGCCATAGCTATTGAGATTCATCACCCAACTTATAAGTGGGACAATAGCATGAATTCTTAATATGGTTAGGTTGCACCTGTCGTTGCTAAACCTTAACTTGCATGTGGTAACAATTAAAGGCTATGACATGTTTACAGTGCTAGTTTCTGCTATAGAAACTCTTTGACATGAGATTTGGGCATATGATATTTAAATTTATAGCCCTCTTTTTTTTTTTTTTTTTTGTATATTTATTTGCCCAGAAGGTAGATTAAGGACTTTAATTTTCTAAGTCACCCTTTAGGATGAACCTTGACGATAAATACATGACCAAAAATGGTCCACCTATCCCATCAATCCCCGAAGGATTGCTATGACGTTACTATGAGTCAAGTTCTTTTTACCCAAGTCTAACTCAATGCATATCACAAATCAATCCCTCAAGGATTGCTATACCCCCCTTTTCACCTAGTACGTGGTTTCAGAAGTAACATTTCCCTATCTGCGTTATTTTTTTTTTTTTGCGCAGTCTATTTTATATCACCACCACAACGTACCTCTAAAAGGGCTATCAAAGAAACCTCCGTCTATTAATTAAATACCGAAAGCCCATGATAGAGGATCAATACATATAATTGGGTACGTTGACTGCATTCCTAATGAAGATTGTTTCTCGGCATTAGGGGGAGATAATATACTACTCCGTAGCTTTTTGGAATGCCAAGAAATTTCATAAGAATAAAAACATCTTCATTATTTAAATCCATGTACTAGTTAGATTGAACTGGAAGTTCAAAAGATAATCTATTTGCGATATTAGCAAAAAAATTTGCCAAGTACATCTATTGATCATACCGATCATAAAAGAGTGACTAGGTCCCATGTACCTTTCCCAACATGGACCAAATATATCTACCGATACTCCTTGACGCCAGAAGTGTAGGAGATCTATCGATGAAAAAGATATGAATCATAATACTAGATCTAGTAAAGAAACATTGTCACTCTTGAAATAGCTTGAATAATTATGTCCTGCAGACGTTCGTCCAGATGACGAAAAACCCTGGTAAGACTTATAGGTGCACCAAACAAATGTAATACTAGGGACGCGGAACGACCAGATCAAAATATCTTTGGAAAATGTTTAGAATTTGGTTGTTTTAGAAATTGCCATTACTTTTACAGATATGGGAGTTTTACAAAAAGGTTATAGTTGTCGACAACACAATTGCCATCACAAATTGCTCGTTATATGATAATTTGGATCCAGAGTTAGGCACCAGAAGTGCCATGACTATTTAATATATAAAGGAGCAATTAAGGCATAGCTCGACTCGCTAATATGAATAAATTCTCTTTATAACAATACACCATTAAGCGTTAACCCTGAAGGTTACAAATGGGTGTGTGCATGAAAGAGAAGTAAGAATAACAAGGTGATATGATATGCAGCGAGTTTGTAGCCTATGGGTTCACGCAGAGACCCTTAATTGATTTTAATCAAATATACTCTCCCACGGTAAATGGCATTAAGTTCCGCTACATAATACAATTGGCAGAATAATAAATTTAGATATGCAGTTAAATTTATCTTGAGAAATCCCTGATGGATTCATAATTCTCATTTTTAAGTATTATTATGTGTCATTATCTACTCTTTAAAGGGTTGCGAATGGAGTTAATATCCTCATTGAAGGAATAATATGTACCATTGTGTGCTCGATAAAGGGTTGATAATGAACTTATTTATTATTTATTATCTCAGTCAAGATTGATGGTGTAAACATCAATGAAAGATATAAAGAGCTTGATGATGTCAGTTCATGTTTAAAGACTGAGACTTTTGAAACAAAAAGCTTGTGAAAGCTATAAGTATTATCTCGACTTGAAGATCGAGTTTTTCTTTACAGTTTTTTATATACACCAGTCAGCCTACATCTAAAAATGCTTTTTCATATGTCTATATGCATATAAGTGTCATGTTTTTATCAAACTAAAGGTTGCCTAATAATCTCTTGAAGTAGATAAGGAACCTTTTTGGACTCGAAGTCCCTTACTTCATTATCATTGGAGCACCATTATAGAACCAGAAGTTCCATAACCGCAACATATTTGCGATAAAATTGCTAGCAAAATCTAGTGCTCCCCCTACAAATGAAGTACTTGAATAATGATTAACATATCCTCCGGTATCTTCGAGATACAAAGACATGACATTTATGTAAGAAACCATGATACGATTTTAATAGGCTACTTGGGTACTGGCTGTTTTGTTTGATCCCCGCAATGCCAAGTCCAAACTGGTTATACAATGAATTTCCCTAAATGTTCAAAATGAGGACAATAACACTTGTGTTGCACAAATGTTATATTAGCTCTAGAAGAGCCATAAGATTATTGTACACTACTCTAAGTGACAATCCAGAAGATTTGTCCAATCCATCTCTTCAAAATTTGAAATATATGTAGAACTTGAAGATTGTTATCTTCAGGGGGAGACTGGAAGTACATTTAATCGAATCAATCCGGAAGATTGAACATTGAACGTAAAATCCTGAAGATTAAGTCATAAAAGACTAACAATTGCGCACTATTTGCAACACATAAATACATAAATATCATGTACTTTTTTCCTCACTAGTTTTCTCCCATTGGGTTTTCTAGTGTGGTTTTTAACAAGGCATGAGTATGATATAGTAATGACAATGAGGAAAAGTTGCAAAATAATTGCTTAAATGGACAAACCCCAAAATCGTGAAGATTATGCGGTTTGCGCCCTGAAGGCTTATGGTTGTACTATTTTTCCCTTAACTAAGTTTTTCCCACAGGGTTTTCTTAAGTTAAGGTTTTTAATGAGGCGACCAAATACAATATATGTTTTTATATATATCATGTACTCTTTTCTTCAACTAGGTTTTTCCCACGTGGTTTTCCTAGTGAAGTTTTTAATGAGGCATGAATATATTTTCTATTGTACTCTTTTCTTGTCTAGGTTTTTCCCACAGGGTTTTCCTAGAAAGTTTTTAATGAGGCAAGATCATGATCAAATAATGTCCAAGGGGGAGTGTTATAAATAAAACTTATGGTGGACATTAATATAGTAGCTTTGTAACGTCTGTAACGGATGTAATTATCCTTCATTATTGTATGCCTTTAGTGTATCTTATATATATATCATTGTACTATGATGGATGATGATGAATGGATCTATCCTCCTTTTCTCCCTCATCTTTCTACTCTTATTCTCGTTCTTACTGTTCTTCACGAGCTAAAGGCCTGCAAACTAACTTGCAATACAACAGGAAAAAGAAAAGGAAAGTCAAGCTGTGAAGGCGAATAATCAGGGCAGAAACCCCTCTCTTCACTTCCCAATTACATATGTGCGTTGAATAGAAGAACATCTGCGCCTACTTGTATCTTCACTCGTCATTTCTATCGAATTACATTAACAATGTCGAGTCCGACGGGTTCTCAGATCCCTGACCCAGAAATCCCCACTCAAGATGAAACAAGCAATTCCCATCAATGTTCGCAGACCGAAACACTAGAAGAAGAAGAATCCCAAAACCTAGATAACCCTCAAGATCAAGAAGTTGCTGATCAAGAAGACCCAAAATCCCATCCAGAAGAAAACCCAGACGATGAATTCTTAGGTGAGGCTCTTCCTTTACCTCCTGCTATTCATGTGGCGTTTCCACCCATGGGTGGAGACATGCTTGATGCCCCTTTGCCCTCACCCGCTAACCATAACAGGCGCGCCCCCAAGCGCAAGAAGAGTAAAATTTATGCCAAGAAGCAACAGGCTATAGATAAGAAATTGAGTACCCTTTTGGGGAGTTTGAACCCTATTCCCTTTGTGCCCTCCAAGGTTCTTGATTTCAGTAAACATGAGAAGCTGATGAAGCAGTTAGGGCTGTGGGAATTCGTTCATATAGAGTTTGATCAGAATATTAGGGTTGATTTGATTGCTCAGTTGGTTGCATCTTATGACCCGAAACTTAGGTGTAGTTATGTGAATGAGCGCAGGATCCAAGTGAATAGGGCAGATTTAGGGCGGGCTCTTAAGCTGCATGTGAAGAAGGAGAAGGGTGGGGGAAATGTGTTGGAGGGTGTGGACTTAGATGGGGAGTCATTGCCCGATGAGTCCGTTGCGTTTATTGAGGATTTCGTGTCGAATTGGGTGCTTTTGCATGAGGATGCTTGGATAATGCCAAGTGAGGTGCTGAACTGGACAAAGTTTATCAAGGATAAGCACCCGGAGAAGGTGGATTGGGCTGGGTTGTTCTGGTTCATGGTGGAGAAGGAGTTGATACGGGGTGAGAAGTTGGAAGACTGTTATTACGCAGCACATTTGCAGTGTTTAATTAAGTCCCAACGTGAAGTGTTGTTCAGTGAGGAGCCTGACAAGGTACAACATGAAGAGGGTTTCTTGGCTGAGGAGACTGAGAAGGTACAACATGAAAGCAGGCTGTTCACCGAGGAGCCTGCCAATGTGGAAGTCAAGGAAGTGGAAGACGGTGGTGGTGAGAGTGATGTGAAAGTTGGAGGTTTGGCTGAGGGTCAAGAAGAAGGGACTCTGATCAAAGAGCTAAATGTTGAGCTGACATTGGGCCAGGAATCCCGGGATGTCCAGGAGATGGAAATGGGCCCGGATGTTCAGGAGGTGGAAGATGTGAAGGATGTGGAGATGATGAATTTCGAGGAGCACGTGGAAGAAGAGCAAGAGGAGGAGGGGGAGGAACGGGGACCCTTTTTGCAGAAGTGTATGAGAGAAGGTATAAGTTTGGATGAGAATGAGCAGACAGAAGAAGAAAATGAAGAGTTGGAGGAAGAAGATGAAGAGCAAGAGGGGGAGGAGGATGGTTTAGCTCTTCCGCCTCTTGTTGATACTCTTGGTGTTGGTGGGGATGGACATGCTGAAAATTATCTTGAAGCCATGGAGACAACCCAGATTGCACTTGATTCTCATGGCCATTTTCCCTGTCAGTCCTCGGTTGACCTTCTTGCTTCTAGAACTGATCTGAATTCTGGCGGCACATTTTTTGACCATGGCGGTAAAAGAGGCGTTGAGCATGATGAAGGCATTGGCAGTCATTCTCTAGGGGGCAATAAGCGATTGAGGATGGACGGTCCATGGGATAACAAGCCATTGGGGGACTTTGGGACATGCATTGAGCAAATGCAACAATTGATGACAAGAGCTAGGATGATGTATGAAGCAAAGGAACAAAATGAGCAAGAATGTAGCTTGTATAATCAATATTTGCTTGCTGAGTTGCAAAAGCGTGATGACATGGTTCAGCACCTTGACAAGGCTAGGCGTGAAGAAACTCAAAAAAGAGATCAGCAGATTTATCGTCTTGAACGTGAACTTTTCATGATGGGCAATATTTTGGAGGGTTATAGGAAGGCATTGAAAAATACCCACATGGCATTTGCTGAATATAGGTTGCAAGCTCAGCTTCCCGAGGAACCAGTTTACAAGGATTCTGGGCCTGGTGGTCTTGTGTTGAGCACTACTGAAATTGAGAAACTTCGATGTAAACAAGAAGAGGAATATCGATCAAATTGCTTGATGTTGGAGCTGAAAGCAAGAGAAGTCGAGGAAGGTTACGTTACTGAATTCGAAATGCATATGAACAAAGTTCTTGCACTGGACAACAGGTTGACAATTCTCTCTGACAATCTGAAGGAACTTAAGGAAATGCATGATAAGAGAAAAGCTCCAGAAACTCAGCAAATTTCAATGGAAACACCAAATGATTGATTGTGGTTGTGACCTACTTTTACTACCTGGTGCTGTTACTTCTAACTAGATAAAATGTGGTGTCATTTGATCTAGGCTGTACTTCTTTTAAATTTAAATTTGAAAGCATCTATGCTGTAGTTTATATGTTTTGTTTGAGTTGATACCATCAGCTAATACAATTTATCTCTTGTTTGGTCTTTTTCTTAAAGTTTGGCATATTAACTAGGTAAAATTACTCATAGTACATTCATAATTTCATCAATTCATCCTATGACTGTTCATAACCATTACATTCTCGATATTCTGTAGAAGAAAAAACTGGAAAAACAATCTTGAATAATACATACAGTTAGATAAAGCTAATGCTATTATTAGACCACTGACATGAGAATAGAGGCTGCTTATAATGCCATACACATCAATCGAAAGCATACATGATACACCTTGATGCAAAACAAAAATGAAATCTTGAATTCAATGCTATCAACGCGGCTGTCTTCTTCTAGATCTGGAACTTCGACAAAATAGTGGGATGCCCACAACAATAATAATAAGAAGAACCTGTAGGACTACCAATATCTTCAAACCTGGAATAGTCAGTAGACCATACAGAGTTATCTCACTCTCTCCCCATGGATAAGGCATATAAGCAAAGAGCTTTACTATTAGCAGAAGTTTACCTTTAACTTTCTGTACTGGATCCTCTCTATTAACTCCATCTTTAACTATTTTTCTGCCAAATGAATCTAAATTATCTTGTGAAACATAACTTCTTGTCTGATAGGAGAAATCCCCGCCCATAACACAAGTGTTTGGGCAACTAAAGGTGCCATCATTCTCATCGCTTCCATCACAGCAATCTAGAAACGTGATTAAACCAGCATAACATTTGGCACAAGAAAACAATCTAGAAACATGATTGAACCAGCATAACATTTGGGACAAGAAAACATTACTAATTTACAAGGAATGCAACTATAATGGTAAACAGCTTTAATTAGGAAAGAAGACATAATAATAATAATAATAATATAACACAAGGATTCTCAAAATAAAGCAATATTTGAAAGTGGGAAAAGATAATTAAGTGCAGTACTTACCACAAATGTGATCGTTTACTCGAGATGAAAACAAAAATTTTGGTGTGCTGCCCATATTCTTGCAATAGAACTTTCCCTTGGGACAGGCTGCAGTTCCTACATATCCATTATTCCATTTAAAGGGGATTGGTAACTTGAAACAAGATATCTACTTGCATTAGCCCTTTGAGACTTTGAGTGCATAAATCAGCACAAAACTATAATTGTGTTAGGTACTACACAAATCCCAAAGTTTTCAGAAGCAATCAGAATCAGAAATGGGGGACTTGGGGGAATGGAGGGTGGGGACTGGGAGGGAGGACAACACATTTTATCTACATAAAAGCTTCATGCCTGTGAACTTCCTGACTTCTAGACCACAATGGCTTCATCACGAAATCTTCTTAATCCTCTCACTAATGAACAAAAAACCAGCGTGTTTTCCTTTACATCAGATACTTGAATATCTATGCTAGTGAAGTGTGATTTAAGAGTAAAGTTCGTCACTTGAAACATATCCTAATTTAAATTCATGAACAATAGTTAGTACTTGAAATTGCTCAATTAAGCAAACCAGTGACTACACTCTTTAATACCAGTATATTGAACATTTTTAAGGGGCAGAGTTGAACCAAACCAGAAGTTTAGAATCAAGAGACAAATTGGTGAATGGTAACTGAGATATAAGCTTATCCTCTCAGCACATTTTCTTTTAATACATGGAAAGAAGTGTCCTTTCCATAATCCACCTCACTTAAGACTCATATCAACAACTATGCAATGCCCAAATTAACAACAAAAGAAAAGATTGGGGCATTTTCTATCCTAAATCACAGTAGTACGAGCTGACCCGATTGAACATATCCATTGCGATCCAAAGCCGAAACATTCGATACGAAGAAAACCCAATTAATGAGTAACATCACAGTTTCAGAAACAATCGAAGTCAAGAAATGGGATTTGAGCTAAAATGCATACCGGGCTCATCAGTGCCGTCCAGGCAGTCACAAAAATCATCGTTTAGGCGGTCTCTGGTGAAAGATTTTGACCCATCTTTACATTTGATCAACTCCGATGAATAGTACTTCTCATCTGCAAACACATCACATCATGTAGTGAATACCTATACTTCAAGAAAGATAACTCACCATGGGTGCACGCAGAGAGAGACCTAGAGGGTGGATGCCGATGGGCAAAGCAAAAGCAGGAGAGGGGCAGAAATGGAAGGAAATAGTGAAGAAGTAGAGATGGAGGAGAAGACTTCGCAGAAGAAGACCAGCCTCCATTACGGTTGGATGATTTTTTTTTTTTTTTTTTTTTTCCTTGGCACTGTTAACAGTGTTGGAATTTCCTTGCGTGGAAAAAGAAAGAAACTTTTTTTTTCTTTTTCTTTTTGGGTTCCTAATTAAAATTAAAATTTAAAGTTATATTCTAAGAGAAAGAGTTAACCCCGTAGAAGTGTAAAACCCTAAACCCAGATGGAGCAAGTGGGTTAAGAGCCTATAAAGGCAGAAGAGCTGCCATTTTTGTGCTAGGTGGAAATGGCCGGTCCGTTGCTCCGTTCCCTCTGGTCTACTTCCAGAAGATCTGGTTCTGTCTCCTCCACCTCTTCCCCTTATCTCAAGCTCCACAGCTATGCACGCGCCGCCGGTTTTGGTCGCGCCTTCTCTACCTCCACAGCCACTGCCCCAGCCCCCGCGGCTGCACCTGGTGGCGCGGTGGATCCGGGACTACTTAGGAACGTGGCCGTCATAGCTCATGTCGATCACGGCAAGACCACTCTCATGGATCGGCTCCTACGCCAGTGCGGCGCTGACATCCCGCACGAGCGCGCACTTGATTCCAACAGCCTCGAGCGCGAGCGTGGCATCACTATTGCTTCCAAGGTCTATCTCTTCTATTCCAAGATGTAATTTTTATTTATTTTTACTTTAAAATTTTTGCTCTAGAATATATTGCTATTTGATGAACAAGAGCATAGGGATTATGCTATTCTTTTTCACCTCAGTATCTGCATAGTTTTTTATTTTTAGATATATCAAAATTTATACCAATGAAGTTGAATACACAAATTAACAAATTACTAAATACTATAATTTTATCCATCTGGGAAATTTTTTCTCTGGGAGGATAAGAGAGATCAAATGAAGTTTCCTATGACCATTAACCACTCGCTATTCCAGCTGAATCTCTTTCTTTCCTCATAAGTATTCTCTATTTTTTTTTTTACCAATTCCTTTAATGCATTCCACTAAAATTTTGAAAATTTCATTTTCTGTTGGTTGTGTTTCTTATTAGTTTCTTAAACTCATTTTATTCTTAAATACTGGACCTATCTTCCTAGTTCTACTGGCAATGATGATAAAAAGGCCGGTCTTACAGCTGCTGCTGTGTGCTTGGTAGTAGTGTGATGATTTGTTCAAGGAGGTACCTGCTGAGCCAGTTTTGTAAAGTGTACTTGTAGTAATGATTTCCTATATCTCTTTGGGTAAATTAACCCATATAATTTATTTGGATATCTCTGATTCCACTACCATGCCAATGGGTGCTCACATTTTCACTAAAATTTTGAAAATTTCATTTTCTGTTGGTTGTGTTTCTTATTAGTTTCTTAAACTCTGGCATTTTATTTTTAAATACTGGACCTATCTTCCTATTTCTACTGGCAATGATGATAAAAAGGCCAGACTTACAGCTGCTGCTGTGTGCTTGGTAGTAGTGTGATGATTTGTTCAAGGAGGTATACCTGCTGAGCCAGTTTTGTAAAGTGTACTTGTAGTAATGATTTCCTACGTCTCTTTGGGTAAATTAAACCCATATAATTTATTTGGGTATCTCTGATTCCACTACCACTCCAATGGGTGCTCACATTTTTGTTATCCACTTTATCCTCAAGTGAGAACATGTAATTTAACCTTTTAACCTATGTATGTGTTCAACGTATGTGGTTATCCACTTTATCCTGAAGTGAGAATATGTAATTTAACCTTTTTACCAATGAATGTGTTCAACATATGTGCTGACTATATACTGGCAGAGAATCTAGAATTCTAGAAGTGAGTGTGTGTATAAGGACACACAAATATATCAAAAAATGTGTGTTTATATTGTTATCAACATATTGTTTCATATGTTTTTGATTGCTGGCAGGTTACATCCCTGTCATGGAAAGAAAATGAGCTGAACATGGTTGACACTCCTGGACATGCTGACTTTGGTGGTGAAGTATGCACTGATTTCCCATGTGAAAATTCCATGCACCACAAGTTTTTCTTGCCTAATTTAGGAGACTTAATAGTCCTTAAAGGATAATATTCTTTAAAGACCCGTATTATGGAATTCAGCAGATTGACAAAATTGAAACCATTTTTTTCCTTCAAATTTTTCTTCGGTACAGGTTGAGCGTGTAGTTGGCATGGTTGAGGGAGCAATTCTAGTTGTTGATGCAGGTGAAGGACCACTTGCACAGACAAAATTTGTTCTTGCCAAGGCATTGAAATATGGCTTACGCCCTATTCTTCTTCTAAACAAAGTAGACAAGCCTGCAGGTATCTATGTTTAATGTTTTATACATTAGTTTTCATTATATTTGCATGTTGTGGTATCCTTTTTTATTTTAATTTTTTTAAACTTCTCTTGAGGTCTTAATATTTAACATGGATCCTGCAAATATGTTGGTTTTTTCTTGTTAATATGGATGGACAACCATATCATATGTAATTTGACAATATACTTCATATACATTGTAAAATGCCCATTTGGTTTTGACTGAAACCATCTTTAGCATAAAATGATGATGAATTAAACCTAGAAAAATCAGATGCACAATTCATACAAGCCAAAACTGATTCAGATTCAGCATATGTGATGCTGAGCTTTATTGAGTCTTCCAAAACATGTCTAGAGTTCAGTGTAACAAGAGGATAAATAGCACCAGCTGAGATCAGTTAATAACTGTAATGCTGACCCTTGCATAACTTTTTTAATTCAAATTTAGACTACAAATTTTGGGCTCAAATTCCATGGATAAAGGCATAATTCACATAAAAAAAATGATTATTGTTACTGCCAGGAGTTCTTGTGTTGTATCTCTGTGATCTGATGTTATGTGCTTTAATAATTTTTATGCAGTTAGTGAAGAGAGATGCAGTGAAGTTGAGAGTCTTGTCTTTGATCTTTTTGCGAACCTTGGAGCTTCAGGTTATTTGGCATGATATCTCATGCTCTTATATCCTTGAGTTTAATCCTTCTATCTGTTAAAAGCATTTTATATTAGAGCTGCTGTTGTCATCTGATTATTCAAAAAGTTGTTTGCTTAATTGTTTTCCCCTTTTTTTCAGAGGAGCAGTTAGATTTCCCTGTTCTTTATGCTTCTGCAAAGGAAGGATGGGCTTCGTCTGCCTATACAAAAAGTCCTCCAAACAATGCCAAAGATATGTCTGAATTGCTAGATGCAATCATAAGACATGTTCCTCCGCCAAGTGCCAGTCTGGATGCACCTTTTCAGATGTTGGTTGGTACCCTAATAGTCAACAACCCAATGCCTGCAAAACACATGCTATCTTCTTATTTGCATCCATATCTGCAACTTTGTAGAAATAAGTCAGATGGTTACTTTTAATACTTGCATCAGTTCATTTCCTTTGGCATAGTTTGATGTGCATTACCATATAGAAAAGAAATTCTTATTTCTGGTTTTGGGAATAAGTATATTTTTTGCTTTGGAAATTGGAAACTTGAAACCATTGCAAAAGTGTTGATAACAGTGTTATGGCAGTGAAAAATTAGTCAAGTTTCTAGCATCTTAAAATTCTTAGTAAGGTTTCTTGATTCTACATTTGGCAAAAAAAGTCATGTTCTGTAATTACATCAGATCCTAATCTACAACTAACTTTTAAAGTGGTCCATTCTGTTAGTTGTATGTCGGAAATTTGTAGAAATAGCATAAATCTAGCATATGATTATATTGTCATTGAAATAAAGATGAGTACTTCTTAGTGTGTTAGTTCCATTGGGGATTTTTTTTGCCCATAAAAGGTGATAAAATTAACCTCATATCCTATCTTTTTGTAAGGGAATAAAGCTACTATGAGCCTATGAGTATCCTCTCTCATCTTTTGATTACTTAGTCTCATACTCTTGTTATATGTATATATGTATATATATAAATGATAATTTTGTTGGTTTCTTACCCATCTTGTCCTCTGTTTTGATAAATTTTTAAAAATATGATGCATAATAGATTCTTACCTTTCAGGTTTCCATGATGGAGAAAGACCCTTATGTTGGGCGAACATTGACTGGACGTGTATCTTCTGGAGTTGTTCGTGTTGGGGATAAAGTACATGGGCTTCGTAATACAGACTCAGGGGTTGTCAAGATTGAAGAAGGAAAGGTAATTTCTCTCAGATTTCCTTTATGACTTTCAAAGTTGATATCCATTTTCATTATGGTATTAGATTTTAGCTTTTCCCTTGGCATTATCTTATCTGAAGGAATTCTTGATCTCAGATAAAAATGCTAGGTGGAGTCAATTTTCACTAGAATCAGGTCCCCCCCCCCCACTCCCCCACCCACACACAAACACAAACATACACCTTTTTCTCTTCTAAGTTTATGAAATTGGGTTGCCTTAGCCCTTAGCCCTGGAATCTGAAAATGACTTAGTCTGAGGACTGTAACGCTGGGGTTAGATCCACAGGTGTTAGATATGATAAATGGAACCAAAACCAATGTTACTTATTGTAAATTTATAGTTAACATTTAATTACAGGAATTCCTGATTCATGAAATTATAATATCACGTTTAGGTCACAAAGTTGATCAAAAAGAAAGGTATGAGTGCAGTTTCAGTTGATTGTGCTGGTGCTGGTGACATAATATCAATGGCAGGGTTGACAACTCCAGCAATTGGGCACACAGTTGCAAATGTTGAGGTGCTTAGAATCTTTTTACTCTGGTATTACTGTGTTCGAATAGTTTCTTGATCATGTATATTCTTGTATTTTTATATCTAAGCATAAACTATATATGAATATAATAAGATAGTTTTATATATCTTATGAAATCTGAGGAGCCTGCTGTTGTTCATGTTGGGCAGTTTATGTAGGCGCATTCCAGAAAGATTGATGTCCTACATAGCTTTTAAATTAACTTCTCATAAAATCTTATAGGTTTTGACTGCTCTGCCCACCGTTGATCTAGATCCCCCTACAATTTCCATGACTTTTGGTGTCAATGATTCTCCATTGGCTGGTCGTGATGGAATTCATGTAAGTAATGCTATCTTTGTTATCATATGGACTAAACTTTGGTCTAGCTTTGTTCAAGTGTGAATTCAAAGGTTGCATCAATTTGGTTTTAATCAGTGAAGTGTTTTGATTTATTGAGACCTTTAATGTTTCCCCCTTTGGAGAAGAGAGGGGTGGGGTATCTTTCTGCAAAGGAGAAAGGGAAAATGAATCTTTTCCTGTTTGTCTGATAATTTTGAATTTCCTGCAGTTGACTGGAGGAAAAATTGGTGATAGGCTAATGGCTGAAGCAGAAACAAATCTTGCCATAAATGTTCTTCCCAGTAATTCAGATTCATATGAAGTTCAAGGGAGGGGTGAACTTCAATTAGGTGAGCTCTTTTCTCATCTCACAATTACGAATAGGGCATACAGTAATATTTTATCTACAACAGTCTCCTTCTATCACACTACTTTTCTCAGTAATTCTGTATATTCATTTTTTACTTAATTTTTTTCTGGTTGAAATTAGGCATCTTAATCGAGAACATGAGGCGTGAAGGTTTTGAGCTGTCTGTCTCTCCACCCAAAGTCATGTGAGTTCTTTGCTGACATTGCTAGTTTGGTGGAGTGATGTTAATTCTACAATTGGGTAATATAGTTGTACTTATCAGCCGAAAACACTAACACAGTGGAAAAGAAAATGCCATATTGTCAGTGGTACTAATGTTAGGATCAAACATTTACCACTACGTCAAAAGCTATAGTTAGTAGCGAAGGTGCAACTTTATTTCCTTATACCGCTACATTTTCGAGAGGTAAGGTGCTGGGCTTGGCCCTTTAGCCCTCCACCCAACAATCCCCTAGCCACCGGGTGTTGGACTTGGCCCTTCACCGGCTTCCGCCCAACAGCTAATTTATAAATGACACAAACCAACACAAGACTTAGTGTGCAAATACTCTTTACGAGTTAAAATCTCCCCAGCTTAGGTTGGAATACACCTAAACCCATGAAAGACCTACCATGAAAACTTAGGGGGGAAAAACAATGATGATTCTTGAAACTCAAAGTTTTACAAAGTACAGAAAACCTAGGGATTTGTCTCCAACACATTTTATGTTCAAAACTCCGATTTAGGCCTTTAAATAAAGGAAATAAGAGATACTTTAAGCAATTACAATTTAGTCTCTAAAACTAACTGTTGTATGAAATATTGCCCAAATAAACATGGCACTTGAAAATCTTTGTGTTTTCTTCTTTCCCAAGCTTAATGCCATGGTACATATGAATAAACAATAGCAATACATTGTATATTAATAAGTATTTGTTCAATATCATTTGGCAGGGAGAGACCCAACTTGTGAATGCTTTAAATTTGCTTAACCTTTACAAGCATGTTTCTCCTTGTTTTTCAAAAGATTTGGGTTCAGTTTCTTTATGACAAGTGTTTATTTGGAGCTTTTCTAAAATTCCTTCATGGATAGGTACAAATTTGAGAATGGTCGAAAGCTTGAGCCTATTGAAGAAGTAACCATTGAGGTGTGTGATTTAATTGAGTACTCATTTGTTTGTCTTCCTCTTTTATCTAATACTGTTATTAAGGTATCATTTTCTTTATTACAGGTTGATGATGAGCATGTTGGTTTTGTTATGGAAACACTCTCTCACAGACGAGCTGAAGTAACTGACATGGGCCCTGTCCCTGGCAATGTTGGTAGGACTAGAATGTGTTTGACTTGTCCTTCAAGGTATATTCTGTTTTCTTATTGCACTTGCCTCCTCCCAACCCCTTCCCCTCCAAACAAAAAAGAACAATTTTATCATTATATGTCATAGATAATTGAGTTTTTGCTACAAAATTTGTTTCTCTTAAAATTCATTTGATAGTTTTGTATTTTAATTTTGCTTTTTCTGCATTAACCAAACTGTAACCCTTCTGTTTTCGTACTTAATATAACTACATTTATCCTTATATGTTACTTTGCTTGCCTAATGCAGAGGATTAGTTGGTTACCGAAGTGTGTTCAGTAGTGACACCCGTGGCACAGGATTTATGCACCGTGCTTTTCTTAGTAAATTTTCTCCTCATCTCTTTTCAATTCTTCTCATTAATTTAAATTACTTGCTTCTTTATTTGTCACTTGCGTTTGCCTACTAATCGTTACTAAATGCATGCTTGGCCTGTTCCTTATAGTGAAACTCTGCTTATCTTAGCCTTTTTTTTTCCCAGATTATGAGAAGCATCGTGGTCCTCTTGGAAATGTCAGGAAAGGCGTGTTGGTATGTTACCTTGCAAATTTCTATTCTCTTTCCTTGTATATTCCCCTCAAAACAGAACACCTTTTTATGTTCCATCATAATACCTTTCAACAGTAAAAGAAATATTTATATGATGTGTCTGATTTTATTGGTTGGAACTTGATTTAACAGATATCTATGGGCTTTGGAACAATCACAGCTCATGCATTGATGAGTCTGGAAGCTCGGGGTGTCCTCTTTGTCACTCCCGGGATGGATGTAAGTCATGTGAATTGTTCTTTTCCTTGTGGTCTCGTGCAATTATTGATTGCTTTGGAAAAAAGTTATACAGTGCCATTAAAATGGTTTTCTTTTGCCGTTTCTTTGGCAATGTGCAGGCATATGATGGCATGATTGTTGGAGAACATTCACGAGACAGTGATCTTGATGTAAGATGCGTTTTTTTTTTTTTTTTTAAGATGTGTTCTTCATTTTGTCTATTAAGGTGTATCATGCATTACGCCTGGATGACTGCACGTTTCAGGTTAACCCAGTAAGGACAAAGGAACTTACCAATGTACGGGCCGCTTCCAAGGATGACAATGTGAAGCTCTCTCCTCCTCGATTGGTATGTACCTTTTTACTCCGTTTCTCCATTATATATATGTCTGCTTCTTTTTATACGTTAACCAAAACTTCCAATTCTATCAAATGTTCATCCGGAGATTTTTATTTTTTACCACTCCAAAAATCACCGACAAATCAACATCTATATTCACACAATTACACCACATTTTGTAGACAAGGTGTTACACTAAAATAGTGCACTTTGGCATGTTAAGAAGTGAATTCTCCGTGTTTACGGGTGATTCATAATTTATTGACTAGCTGAAACCTCATACAGATGACTCTCGAGGAAGCAATAGGATACGTTGCATCAGATGAGCTTATTGAGGTATGCATGCTGGTTTCAAACATAATCAATGATCACAAGAACAACTCATTCTTAGCTATAGAGTGATAGCAAGCCGGAATATAATATTGTCTGGTTTCTTAATGCGGGATTAATGTTTTGTTGAACAGGTTACACCGAAAGCGATTAGGCTAAGAAAGAGATACTTGGATGTCAACAAGCGCAAAACTATGAGGAACAAACCCAAGGAGTGAAGCCTCTAAAATCTCGAGATATGTTGTCTAAGGAACATACAATTTTGTAAGGTTTTTTAGTAACACTATAATTGAGTGGTTATTGGAGTACTATTGCATGGTTAATTTATGAAATTGTTAACTCCATATACCCTATAGGTGCTTCCATATTTTTATACATACATAAAATTTGTTGTATATACTCTTTTAACACCATTGAAGAGAGAGATGGCCATACTACTGTACCATGTGGTAGAATCAATAAAAGAAACTGAATTATTCAATTGTTGTGGCTAGCTTACCGTCATTATTTGAGGATGTATATTGAATAAATTGAAATATAAAAGTCTTGTATAAGTTCAATCGGGAAGTTATGGCAAAAATCAAACTTACTGTATTATACAATTATTTTGCTTGTTCTCCGTATCTCCTCGTGAAATGACCCTGTACGTACATTTACCCTATTGAATATACAATCTTGTCTCACTTTTATCTTCGTTCGATCATCATCGTTATTATCAATGGAGAGAGCGAGTTTCAGAACCAACGTCCTAACCAGACACCTCCTCAATCAACAAAACCCAAATCTCGACGATGATGATGTCCTACTCCAATCCTCGCCGTGCATCAGCTACACGCCGGCGGAGGCATCCGAACCGGCGGCGCGTTTCGACGTGTTCGAGATGCGGAAGTTGATGGACGGACACAATTTGCAGGAGAGGGACTGGCTGTATGGGGTGATGATACAGAGCAAGGTGTTCAACCCTAGATCAATGGGCGGTAGAGTGCATGTCGGGGCGGATTATAACCAGGCAATGGAACAGCAGAGGGAGATGACGATGAGGAGAATTGAGTACCTGTCGGATTGTGGGGTGTTTCGAGGATGGCTGACGGAGAATGATCAGGCGGAAGCTGAGTTGAGGAAGGTTGCTCTTTGTGAAGTTATTGCCATTTTTGACTTCTCATTGGCTATCAAGATTGGTGTTCAAGTCTTTCTCTGGTAAGCTTAGCTTCAATTCTTCACTCATTCTTTTACTTCAATTCTTACTGCTCATCTGCAAAAATATATCTTATATATTTGTGATGATCTGATGGAAAATTTGGTTGTGTGTTGTGCAAATTAAGGAACATATTTTAGTATATGCTTAATTTGTTTATGTTACAGAGCATGTCGGAGATGTAAATCATCTCCTCTCAAGCTCCTACACTATCGCGAGACCCGATCTTCTTCTCAAACTTTACCCCTATGACAAACCATTGTCTGTGAGATGATTTAGATTATAGACAACTAGGTTTGTAAGTATCGCACTTTTATTTATAAGTAGTACAATATTTATCATTAGTAACGACATCTAAGTGTGTAAATATCACAATTTCAGTTATCAGTAGTACAATATTTATCATTAGTAACAATTAATTTTATCTTAAATAGTATCACAATTTCACATATAAGTATTAAAATACATATCATAAGTAAGGATTTATCTTTAATTCAAATTAGTATTAAATTTTATACAATAAGTATTACTACTTCTTTTAGAAGTAACATTTCACATATAAGTATTAAAATAATTACATTAGAATTACACTTTGTAGGTATCACAATTTTAGTTATAAGTATTACAATATTTATCATTAGTAACAATTATTTTGCCCTAAATAGTATCACAATTTTACATATAAATATTACAATATCTATTATAAGTAACAATTGATTTATTTTAAATTGGTATTAAATTTTATGTAATAAGTATTATATATATCATAAGTAACAAGTAATTAATTATCTTAGATTTGATCCATCTCACACAAATCGAAATATTTCAGGGTACCAAACCTACAGAAAGTATGACATATTAAGCACTAGCTACTAATTTATTTATAATAAACTAATCTTGGCATGACCATGGATAATTAACTAAAAACAATTAAGTAGGCAATTTTAAAAAGCAAGACAAACAAATTAGGAAATGCAAATAGTTAATAATGAGATTGCCAACTAGCATGTAGTGTGATGGTATTCTGGTTGCTTGTCCAAATGGATGGTTATAGGTTCAAACTTTGGTGGTGAGGGCTAAAAATGTTTTGAGAAAGTATAGAACAAATACTATCTTATAAAGAATCACGAGTATTTCAAAAAAAAAAAGTTAATAATGAGATTTTGAGGGTAAAGTGTTTACTCATATAGTACAAATTAATTCTACCAGAGGTCCCTTGTCTTTGGCGACAATTCCAAATTTAGTTACAGACTATTGTTTTTGCCATTTAACATCCCTAGACTATTATTTTTTGGACACTTTTAATTATTCTCATCACTTTTCCTATTTTTAGTAAGGGCATTTTTGTCTCTTCATATTTTTCTTTTATTAATTTTTCGGTTTCAATCGATTTAATTGGTTTATAACTTTAGGTAACCTCTGATATTTTAGTAATAATATTTTTCAACCAGTTTTTAGTAATATCCTAAACCAGTTGAAATCATAAAAATAACAAAAGAAAAATATAAAGAGACAAAAATGCCCTTACTAAAAATAGAAAAAGTTATGAGAAAAACTAAAAGTGTCTAAAAAAAATAGTCTAGGGATATTAAATGGCAAAAATGATATTCTGAAACTAAATTTGAAATTATCACCAAAGACAATGGACCTCCGGTGAAATTAACTCCATCTAGTGCTAAACTAAAGTAAATAATAATAATAATAATAATAATAATAATAATAATAATAATAATAATAATATTATTATTATTATTATTATTATTATTATTATTATTATTATTATTATTATTTTAACTAAAATGTAAGGAAAAATATTATTTTAGTTTAGGTGGGACGATCAAATGATCAATCCTATATATTTGGTGAGGTGATAAAAAGCGGACGCAATTGTGTTTGTTCTCCGCACGCATCTCCTCGGAAAATGACCCTGCACGTTTACTTTAAAAAAAAAAAATTATTGCAAGGAGAGAATTAAAAGAAAAATAAATTGTAATTTCATGGAAAGTGAATAAGATGAGAATAAAATAAGAATTTAAATTTATTGTTTGGTAAATAATACAATAAGTACTAAAATTTTTAATTATAGTGGTTTGGTATATATGAAAATTGAGAGGAGATAAATATAAATAGTATAAAGATCAAAATGCTAGTGTAATTGCAATTCTTAAGAACATAATAACAGATGTAAAATTAATATGGAGGACAATTTTTTTTAGATTTAAGGCTGCTCCATTCCTAAAGTTGAAGATCAAATCATTGACTTTTGGTTAAGGATGGGTGAGTTCCTTCCATTTAACCACACCCCCAAGTTATTATGGAGGACAATTTGATCCTCATACTCTAAATTTTTTTTACATGTATTATGAAATTGCAATTCTTAGGGGAGGTAAATTTACAATTCCTCATATTTAAGGAATTGTAATTTTATAGATTTGCAATTCATTCCCATCAAGTAGGAAAAGATTGAATTACAATTCTGTAATAGATTTTTTGCTTACTAGGAGTCTAGGACTAACAAATTCCTCTCTACCAAACACTCCATTACTATATAAAGATGCATACTGAGTAAATCATTTTATGTAATTTTAGTCCATAGTACACCAAAATAGGATAAGTCACTTTAAATTATTTCACCTATTTAATTCTATGTTACTAAGTCAACCATCTATTAATTCCTACACTATTTTTTAAATTGAATATGCAATATCGTCTGACTTCATCTTCGATCATCATCATCCGCCGAAGCATCCGCTTGCTTTTTCTCAAACCTTTTAACAAATCTTGTCTTCTTTATCAAAAAAAACAAAACAAATCTTGTCTTCATCGTTCTCATCAATGGAGAGAGTCAAATTCAGAACCAATGTCATAACCAGACACCTCAACCAAGAAAACCCAAATCTCGACGATGATGTCCTACTCCAATCCTGGCCGTGCATCAGCTACACGGCGGCGGAGGCATCCGAACCGGCGGCGTGTTTCGACGTATTCGAGATGCGGAAGTTGATGGACGGACACAACTTGCAGGAGAGGGACTGGCTCTATGGGGTGATGATACAGAGCGAGGTGTTCAACCCAAGATCAAGAGGCGGTAGAGTGCATGTATGGGCGGATTATAACCAGTCGATGGAGCAGCAGAGGGAGATGACGATGAGGAGAATAGGGTACCTCTTGGATTGTGGGGCGTTTCGGGGATGGCTGACTGAGAGTGGGGCGGGTGCTGAGTTGAGGAGGGTTGCTCTTTGGGAAGTTATCGCCATTTTTGACCATTCGTTGTCTATCAAACTTGCCGTTCATTTCTTTCTCTGGTATGTTTCTTCATTATATAGTCTTCTATTTTTTGGTGTCAATTTACATTTTGTCTTGGTCTTTTATAGAAATTTATATTGAAATGTGTACCTAGAGTTCGAAATTTCTTGGCAAAATTCTTCTTACTGTTCGATTAATGTTGTTCATTATTCTGTTCCAATTGTCATCCATAATACGCTACAACGTAACTTTTTGGAGCTTACTACTTTCTGGTATATTTTGACTATCCGATCAGTTGGACTTTTATGTCGAATATTATTGTCCAGTCAAGGTTAATCCTTCCACTTTTTTACCCTTCAACATCCTGATCTTCAACTCTTCGAATTTCAAGTCTTTTACTCTTCGGTCTTCAAATCTTGAACTCTTCGACCTTAAGGTTTCGGACAACAACTTTTCGAAAATGATTTTTCAAAGATTACTATTCCCAACCTTTCAAGACTTAATTATCCTAATGTTTACTTTACGGATTGAGTTTACTTTCCAGTGAGTAAAGTTGGTTTCTAAAGTTGACCCTTCAGATTTACTTTGAAAATTTCTAAATCTATAAAGTAAAAATTTTGAGATCTAAATTTCCTAACTTTGTTTGGCATCATCAAAATTTTATATTTCAATCTTATGCTCTCTAGATAAAACTCGCATTGTGACCCTAGCATGCAAATTACTACAAATAGATAAACCAATTCACCTAGGTACTTCATAGCTAATTATCTCAAAACTAAGAAGGTGAATAGACAACCCCCATATGGTCAAATTTGAACCTTATAGTTATTAAGCTAATTATTCAACCAACTAGATACTTAACTCTATTTTCTAGATGTAAATAAAGTATGAGTGGTTGATTATATGACTTTTGGCCCGTTTGGTCGTTCACGGAATAAATTTGGAGGGAATAGAATGCTATTATTGTGATTATTATTATCAACAAAATATGATCGGAGTGTTCAACATGAGATCTAGCACTATACGTTGTCTTCCTCGGCGATCAAACGCCTCCAGGGATCATTGTGGAGGTCCAACGAAGTGACCGGCATGGTCAGATTGGTTATCGGCCTCTGGTTGCGATATCGGATGGACTACGACCTTCTTCGTCCTTGGAGTCTTTGTCGGCGACGAAATCTGTGCAAGGGCAATCGGAGGGGGGTCGAGGGGTCGCGGTTGAGCGGCGAACAGTTCCCCCCAATAAGATTGAGGATCGCCGGTGTCTAGAATTAGCGGAGTCAGCTCTACCATCGGTAGGGTTCCGCCTTGCTACAACGGCTGTCTCGACGGCGGGCGATTGCGAGACAGTTTCGTCCATGGCGGTTCCGGTGGTTGCACAGGCCGGCGATGGGTCTTCTTGTTCCCCCATTACCTTTGTTGGGACCCAGCGAAGTGATCGCCATGGTCGGATTGAAGCTTGAGGGCTATTTGAGAAGACGGGTGATCGGACGATCGCGGAGCAAAATTGCGATCGTGCCCTAGTCTCCTCTATGGCGGCTCCGACGCACATATAAGAATATACCTATTACTGGAATCTGTATTCCCCTTGCAAACAAAGGAATATGTCTATTACTGAAAACACTATTCCATTCTAGGCCTATTCCGCGAATTAAACGTGCCATTTAAGTCACGAGTAAAGGCGACAGGAAGGAGATTCAAATACCAACTCAAACAACTTAAAGTTGGGCTCCTCAAAATTCTAAAGTAGAGTCATAAGGTTGGAGTAAGGTGTTGGTTGGTAGACTGGGGACTGAGAGATTCTAAGATGGGGTGGTGGGGCTAGGAATAGGATTGGAAGAAGATAAGTTACTGAAGCGCAACGGGATTAGTCTGCACGCAACACAAGGATTGGAAGTATGGGTACGGTATAAATTAAATATCATCCATGCATTAATTAGTTGGTTTGGAAGTATGGGGATCAATATCAATATCATCCATGCATTAGTTGATTGGAATCCTATGACGTCGCCATTCAATGCACCAATCATACCCCCGCATTGATTTTTCTTTTGGTACGTTTTAACTACTTTTAATAGATTCATTTCTTCAAATGTTCAAAACTCAAAATAATACTTGAAAAAGGAACTAATTCGTTATGCTTTTTAGCTCTTTATTAGGAAAAATATATTTTTAAGTAATAATTCAGTGGGTCTCATATTGTCAAGTAGCTTGTAGCTCAATAACACGACTCTTTCAAATAAGAGGTCACATGTTATAGTTATATATTAGATAGTGTCGCAATAGAGCATCTCCCATAGAAGTTTCTGATGATTTTTTTTTTTCTTTGATAGAGAGTGTGTGTGACTTGGGAGAGAGAGAATGTAAGAAAGAGAAAAAAAAAAAAATTTTAAGGAATGATATTTTGTGAATCCATAGAAGAAGAAAAACAAAAAACAATGTCGCGCATCTAGTGTGTTGTGCGCACAAGCTGTGCCAATTAGGGGACATGGATTTCATGCGCCCGATTTTTTTTTTTTTTTCCTTCTTTTTCTTTCTCCTCTCCATCTGATGTGGACCGACAAAAAATATGGAAAAATCTTATTTGTTGAGGATGCTTAAAAAGTCAATAATAGAAGATAAAGGCTATGTTTGGCAAACCTAGCTGAAAGCTGAAAAGCTATAAGTTATAAGCTAAAAATTGAAGAGCTGTTAAGTAAACTTTTTGATAAACTGATAAATGTAAAAAGACTAAAAAAGACGTTTTCATAAAATTTAAATGATGTGATTATTATATTATTTTTATATTATTAAATATATGAGATATATTTAATTTATAAAATAGTTTTTGTTTTTATAATATATATTAAATTAAAATAAAAGAAAAAAAGTTATTAATTGGTAAAGGTAGAGAATGTTACCGAGTATTTATTTATGAATGGACGATTGGAGTTAGAACTTTAAAGGAGTTGCTAGGGGTGAAGAGTTACGAGAGGAGGATGAATAAAAATATAAGAAAAGAGAAAATGTCAAAATGATTTTAATTGGGAAGAGTAAAAAATATTATTTATTTAAAATAATAAGGATAAAGATAGAAAAAATCAGGAAGCTCCTAGTTTATTTTTGAAACACTACCTAAAGTAACTTTTTAAAATTAATTTTTATCTTAAGTTACTAATTTATTTTGGAAACATTACTAAATAAAACTTATAACTTATTAGTAATTTAAAATAAGTTATAAGCTCCTAAATAAGTTTTGTCAAATAGAACAAAAGGTTAGGAGGTAATGTGTAACGATGTTGATCAATATGAGCCTAATGAAGAACTTTGTAGGAGACAAGAAAAGTTTTATTATTATTATTATTATTATTATTATTATTATTATTATTATTATTATTATTATTATTATTATTGAGATTGGGATCGAGGATGAAGATGACACCCCTGACCCTCACCTTGACCCCAAATATTGAATATAATCTTGGCACATTTCCCCAAATATATGTTATTATATTATATATAATGATATTTGTGCAAGAGTTTGACAAATTTGAGGATTTTACTAATGTATAATGTTTTTATGTATTTTGTATTACATGTTTAATTGTTTTGATTAGATATCTAATATTGTGCCAAAGCACTTGAGATTAGGGAGGTAAAGAAATCGAATCGTCAAATATCTTACTATTCGATTCGAATTGAATTATATATTCAAATATTTGTATTCGTATTCGTTTAATATTCGAATCTTAAATTGGATTCGTATTCGATTCGACCAGTTTATTCAAATATATTCGATTCCACTCAAATATTCGAATTCGAAATGCATAACTTAATTTTTTTACAAAATTTTATAATAAATTAAGATAAAATGTAATAAAATTTATATTTAAATAACATAAAATATTCGAATACTATTCCAATTGTTTATATTAGTATTCAAAAAAAATTTCCGAAAAAAGTATTCGAATTCGAATCACGGATTGAATTTTTTTTTATATAATTTGTTTACAACTCTACTTGAGATATTGAGATAATGAGATATTTAATTTTTTTTTGTTCTCCCGCGGATGGCTGACCCGTCAGCATAGAGACACAATAAATATCGTCCGTCTTTTTCTTGGATCGACATCCGCTGAAGCAAACGTTTGTTTAAAGCTTAATCAACTCTGGAGATTGGAGTCTTCATCGTTATCGTCCATGGAGAAAGCCAATTTCAGAACCCATGTCCTTACCAGACACCTAATCCAAGAAAACCCATGTGTTGACGATGATATCCTACTACAATCCTCGCCCTGCATCGGCTACACGCCGCCGGAGCTATCCGAACCGGCGGCGTCTTTCGACGTAGCCGAGATGCGGAAGTTGATGGACGGACACAACTTGGAGGAGAGGGACTGGCTCTATGGCCTCATGATACAGAGCAGGCTGTTCAACCCAAGATCAAGGGGTGGTAAAGTGTATGTATGGCCGGATTTTAACCAGTCGATGGAGCAGCAGAGAGAGATCACGATGAGGAGAATCGCGTACCTCTCGGATTGCGGGGTTTTCCGGGGATGGCTGACTGAGAAAGGACCGGAAGCTGAGCTGAGGAAGCTTGCTCTTTTGGATGTTACTACCATTTTTGACCATTCATTGTCTATCAAACTTGGCGTTCATTTCTTTCTCTGGTATGCCCGTTCTGCGTTTTATCAGCCATTTCAGTGCCTCAACGCTTGTCGTTTGCGTGATTGATCTTCAATTCTAACCAACAAACCTATCTATTAACGATGATTTTAGTCTAATCGCTTATAATTGCAAATTCTCTGTATTTGTGACTGACTGCGTATCTGATCTGGTGTAACCTGTTAACGATGAAATTATGCTTATAGATATGAACATATCAATCATGAGATTTCCTTTTCACGATTCCAGGGGAGGAGCAATCCAATTTTTTGGTACTAAGCGCCACCACGATAAGTGGCTGAGGGATTCTGAAAATTATTTGGTTAAAGGTTGCTTTGCCATGACGGAGTTAGGGCATGGAAGTAATGTATGTGAAGGTTGTTTATATATTTCTAGGTTTAGTTAATGGTTGCTGTTACACCCTATCTTCTCTAATTCGCTATGGCATTTTTCCAGGTTCGAGGTATAGAAACAGTTACAACTTATGATTCGAGTACTGGAGAGTTTGTCATTAACACTCCATGTGAGTCAGCTCAGAAGTATTGGATTGGTGGTGCAGCTAATGTAACATCTCTTCTCAATCTTCATTGTTTCTGATCTTTTATTCTTCTATTCAGCAATGTGAAAAAATACCGATGATTTCTTGTAACCATATTGTAGCATGCAACGCATACAGTTGTTTTTTCACAACTCAACATTGATGGGAAAAATCAGGGGGTTCATGCATTTATCGCTCAGATCAGAGATGGAGATGGGAACATTTGTCCCAATGTTCGGATAGCTGATTGTGGCCACAAAATTGGCTTAAATGGTGTTGACAATGGTCGTATCTGGTAGTAAATTAAACCTTGTATTCATTTGTGTTCAGGGATTTTATTATGTCTTTCTGCCTTGACGATGACCGGATCTTAAGATTTTCCAAATTAATGTCGCCAGGTTTGACAATGTTCGGGTACCTAGAGAAAATTTGTTGAATTCAGTAGCTGATGTGTCTCCAGATGGGAAGTATCTTACTGCGATTAAGGACCCAGACCAGGTAAAAATGCCAAACTGGTTGCTTCCATCCAATGAATTCTGGTTTTCCCATTTGAATTCTCAAAGTTAATACGTGCATAGCCACTAATGTGACATCTTCTGAGCATAAGATCTCTAATTTTGATCCTCCATTCAGATGAATAGAAATTTAGGACAAAATTAGTGCATAACCATGCAATGGTTTATTTTCAGCGATTTGGAGCATTCATGGCCCCTTTGACATCTGGACGTGTAACCATCTCAAGTGCTGCAATTTACTCAGCAAAGGTAAAGCAACCATAAAGCCCTTTATGCTGAGAATTTTTCTAACCATTTTTTATCGAAGAAGGAAGCTTAGCATATTAAATTTTGACACTCATTTTTATGCTTTGTCAGGTTGCCTTAGCAATTGCCATAAGGTACTCATTGACAAGGAGAGCATTTTCTATTACACCGAATGGACCTGAAGTTCTTTTGCTCGATTACCCAAGTCATCAAAAACGGCTTTTGCCTCTTCTTGCAAAGACGTAAGCTGTTTCTCTTTTGCCAGGATGGCGCTACGTGAAGTGGCCTAGTTTTAGCATATTGTCAACATTATTGACAAGTTTCTTTAGCAATTGATGCATACTTACGTAATACTGTGTTTTCATGTTGCAGATATGCCATGAGCTTTGCTGCTAACTCACTGAAAATGATGTATGTGAAGAGGACACCTGAAGTGAACAAAACTTTACATGTTGTTTCCAGTGCATTCAAGGCTACTTTAACCTGGCATAATATGAGAACCCTTCAGGTGGCAACTGGCACCGTATTTAGCATTTGGCTGGCTATTAACTGATAATCCAGTTTGCCTGATGATTTTTATTTTAATTTATATTTATAAATTGAATCAGGAATGCAGGGAAGCCTGTGGAGGCCAGGGCTTGAAGACTGAAAATCGTATTGGTCAGTTGAAAGGTGAATATGATGTTCAGGGTACGTTTGAGGGTGACAACAATGTTCTTATGCAGCAGGTAATATTATGAAGTAGCTTTACCACCTTTCTATAATGCTTGCTTCTAAGTGTGATGAAGTTTTCCTGTGCTGGAGTTAGAATTGAAATAAATTTCCCTAGTCTATTCTACGTTTCAGAAATTCTTTAACGAGCTTGGGGTTTTGACATGAGAATAGAACTGATGGAATTGGAACAAGCAATTTCATCAGTCTTTATTTTTGTTAGCTTTACCCCATTGGCCCTTGAAATGTACTTGCTTCTACCAACCATTTTTTCCAGTGATATGATTTTATTCAACTGTTGGTTCATCAACTACAACTGGCAACTATAGTTGATGAAGATTTTAAGATAACAGAGAGCATTTATGGTACCAGGCTAGCAAGGCGCTACTAGCAGAATATATGGCTGTCAAAAGGACGAAAAAGCCATTCAAAAGCTTGGGATTGGAACACATGAATGAATCTTCTCCTGTTATACCTTCTCAGCTTTCAAGTGATGCCCTAAGGAGTATCCGTTTCCAGGTAATTAAAGAATTGCTTCCTTTTTCAGTTCTGGTAAATCATTTTGAATATTTGAGCGTTCTCACTCTATGTTTTCAGACTGACATACTCTGCCTGCGGGAGAGAGACCTTTTGAATCGCTTTGCTGCTGAAGTTTCAGTCAGGCAATCACAGGGAGAAAGTAAAGAATATGCCTTTGCAATGGTAATATATCATTTGTGTGTTTATATATATTCATAGATCTCTCCAGCCTCCCAAACTCTCTTTCTTCACCGACAATATACATCTGAACATGATGCCTTTCCTTTTCCCTACCAGAGTTACCAACTCGCTGAAGACTTGGGCAGAGCCTTTGCAGACCGAGCAATTTTCCAAACTTTTGTAGAGGCTGAGGCTTCTGTAAACTCCATTCCCATTAAGGTAAGAGAAACATGTAAACTTCTCTTAGTTGTACTAATTGAAGCATATGCTCCATCTCAACTAAAAGCCTAAGCTGATAGTTGGATTACACATTAATGGCTATATGCTCAACAGTACTCAATATGAAACGAGCTAAGTAAGCTAACGAACCATGGCATAACTTGTGCATATCTTATAACACTTTTGCAGAATGCACTTGGTCTCGTAAGATCAATGTACGCTCTATTCACATTGGACGAAGATGCTGCATTCCTACGGTATGGATACTTGTCGACAGATAATGCTGCCACAATTAGGAAAGAAGTCGCAAAGCTTTGCAGTGAACTTCGACCACACGCGCTTGCATTGGTGAACTCCTTTGGCATACCTGATGCTTTCTTGAGTCCCATAGCCTTCAATTGGATTGATGCAAATGCTTGGTCTTCCATTTAAGAATAATAATAGCTCATCACCATTATACTGGAAAATTGAAGTGGTTGACATCCATGGTTCTAGAACTTCAGCAAATAAGATGCAGAAAAATTGTTCATCCCTCATCATATTCCTGCAGCTTGTCATCATCATCATCATCATCAAATAAAACCTATTTTACTGTATTATATTATTACTTCTGTTAAAACCTGTACTTGTTATAGTAAAATGAATAAGTTATAGCAATGTAAACGTAACAGAGCCTACATGGAGACATCATTAACTGTGTTCACATGTCTCACCAACCAGCTTTTGATCATCATATCCCTTTCTCAAGAATCATACAATCAGGTAGCCTCAACCCCCTTCTCTTTTGTCTGTTTGTAACAAACACAATATGCACAAGTACAGTTTGGTGATGCTTATGGTGGTTGTCAGATGAGCTCAACTTACCTGTTTAAGAAGATCTACCTGCTCCACCACAATCTTGCAATACGTACACATATTTGATCCAAAAGTGAAATATCAATTCCGTCATATATTTTGAAGTTACGGATGCCGACTAAGTCAAAAAAATATCTTTTGTTCTTAAGCTAATTATCCAACCAACTTAACTGAAGTTGTTCTCAAAAATCTCATTCTAAGCCTTATAGTCTTTAATATGTAACAAAAATTAAGTGGTGTCTTTTTTTTTTTTTTTTTTTTTTTGAAAATAAAAATTAAGTGGTGTCAATTGGCTTAATTAAGTCCGTTACAGTGTATTTTCATATATCTTGATTATTATTAGGAATAAGGGTCAAATAGGTCAATCGGACGGCACACAATAATACAATTAGGCCGCTGAACTCAAAAAATCAACAATTGGATCCCTTTGAAGGTTTCCAACAGGTCAATTGTTGGAAACTTACAAATTGAAAGAATTGTTTGAAATTGATTAATTTAGGGGCCCTGGATTTTTTAGATTCAGTGGCTTAATTGCATTATCGTTTTGATGACCTATTTGACCCTTATTCCTTATTATTATGCTCATTCCTAAATCACATATGTAATCTTAGAATATCAAAATCATCACATACATATGTATAACCGAAGATCATGTATGTTACGTTATCCCTTCATTTAATGGATAAATGTTAGCAAGTGTCCTAAGTGACCACAAACACTACCTCTATTGGACTGCATGTGCAACAGTCAGTCAGGGGGGTTGGTTGAGAAGTAAAGCATTTAGAACAGGCGGGCAAGTGAGAACAGCCCGGCGAGTGAAAACTTACAAAAATAAAGTGGCCGGTTAGTTGGCTATCAGAGATCACTGCATATATAAAACACTATATATACTCCAATAATTCAACACAATTGAATTGAATTTGCAGAAAGCTAGCTAGCTAGGTATAGGAAGTATGGGTTCTCAAGCAACAACTTACCACATGGCTATGTATCCCTGGTTTGGCGTCGGCCATCTCACCGGTTTCTTCCGCCTCGCCAATAAACTAGCCGGTAAAGGTCACCGCATCTCCTTCTTGATCCCCAAAAACACTCAATCCAAGCTTGAATCTTTCAACCTTCACCCACACCTCATTTCCTTTGTTCCCATCGTCGTACCGTCCATTCCCGGCCTCCCTCCCGGCGCCGAGACCACTTCCGATGTCCCCTTTCCTTCCACCCATCTACTCATGGAGGCCATGGACAAAACCCAGAACGACATTGAGATCATCCTCAAAGATCTCAAAGTGGATGTTGTGTTCTATGATTTTACCCACTGGCTACCCAGCCTGGCACGGAAGATCGGGATCAAATCAGTATTCTACAGCACCATCAGTCCGCTCATGCATGGCTACGCTTTATCCCCGGAGCGGAGAGTCGTCGGGAAACAGTTAACTGAAGCCGACATGATGAAAGCTCCGGCCAGTTTCCCGGACCCGTCGATCAAGCTCCATGCTCACGAGGCGCGGGGGTTTACTGCTAGGACGGTAATGAAGTTCGGTGGCGATATAACTTTCTTTGACCGGATTTTCACGGCGGTGAGTGAAAGTGATGGTTTGGCGTACAGTACTTGCCGGGAGATTGAAGGCCAATTCTGTGACTACATAGAAACCCAGTTTCAAAAACCTGTCCTACTCGCCGGCCCAGCTTTACCAGTCCCATCCAAATCCACCATGGAACAGAAATGGTCGGATTGGCTGGGGAAATTCAAGGAAGGCTCTGTTATATACTGCGCATTTGGGAGCGAATGCACCCTGCGCAAGGATAAGTTCCAGGAATTACTCTGGGGTTTAGAGCTCACAGGAATGCCATTCTTTGCTGCCCTGAAACCACCATTCGAAGCCGAATCAATCGAAGCAGCCATCCCCGAGGAGCTGAAGGAGAAAATACAAGGAAGAGGGATCGTACATGGCGAATGGGTTCAACAGCAACTGTTTCTCCAGCATCCATCTGTCGGCTGCTTTGTGAGCCACTGCGGGTGGGCTTCACTGTCAGAAGCACTGGTAAATGATTGCCAAATCGTGCTTTTGCCGCAGGTAGGAGATCAAATTATCAACGCAAGAATCATGAGTGTGAGCCTGAAAGTTGGGGTGGAGGTGGAGAAAGGGGAAGAAGATGGGGTGTTTTCAAGAGAGAGTGTATGCAAGGCAGTGAAAGCTGTGATGGATGAAAAGAGTGAGATAGGGAGAGAAGTAAGAGGCAACCATGACAAGTTAAGAGGTTTCTTGTTGAATGCAGATCTGGATTCAAAGTACATGGACTCTTTCAATCAGAAACTGCAGGATCTCCTTGGATGAATATAATATAATATAATATTAATTGGTATCACTGCCTTGAGCTAGAATGGTTTTAGCTAGGGTTTTGGTTTTCTTGAAAAAATGCATAATAAGAAGTGCAAGCTAATTAAGAGAATATATATATATATATGCATGCAGGTGTGGTGTGTTTGAGCTTGATCTGTATAATAAAGGAATTTATTTATCAATGAAAGCAACTGATATTTAGGAATAAGGCTGCTAAAAAAACATTTTCAAATGAGATTCCAAAAACTCTTCTACACATCGTCTCTCCAGCAACACAGCTAGTACAGGACATCCCAAAATGGATATCATATATATATATATATATATGCATATATCCAGCTTTGAATATGGTATGTGGTTTGTTAAAACACAATTACACCCACTGTGCAAAAAGGATTCGCAGAAACAAGCCACCGTGTTTCTTTTTAGGGTGAAATGTATTCTGAGGATGGATAAACAAGTCTATTTGAGAGTGTGTAGCGAGGAAACGTACATTGAAAATCAGTAAATCAGTAAGGAAACATACATTGAAATTGATCAGTAAACTATTTGAGAGTGTGTACCGAGGAAACGTATATTGAAATTAAGTAAATAAGCTAGTCTCTAGTGGGGAGGGTACGATATATACACTGGAACTACTGAGAACTACTAAGTAAATAAGCTAGTCTCACTACAAGAAATCTTTCATTTCTTGACGAAAATTTTAACGACGCTCTAAAAAACGTAGCTAAATATAACAGTTAGTGACGTTATATTAAATAACGTCACTATATATATTTACTGACGAAATATAATTTTTTTGTCAAATATAGATTCAATGACGTTTTATGATAAGTGTCCCTAAATATTTTGTTTTAAAAATCAATTTTAGCATAAAACATCGGGAAAAGTTAAAATATTTTGTGGAAATTTTTTTTATCACTTGGCGCCATTAAGAAAGAATATCATCAGAAAAAAAAAAAATTGTGTAAAAATTTTCCAAACTTCGCCTCTCTACACGACCCTAGCAGCAGTACGCAGTACAAAACACACCATCGCCATTCGCCACTCCGTGACACCATCGCCATTCGCCACTCCGTGACACCATCGCCATCTTTAATGCTTTTCTACATAAGGGTATATGTATAGTGATGATGAGGACCGGGTTTACCATAAAAACCGGGTATAAGAATGCGAGGCTTTATTATTACTCAAGGCGTACAAAGCTTGAGGTACGAGCCCGGCCCAAACACAAAGATCGCAACCCGGCCCAAACACAAAGATCGCCACTCCGTGACACCATTGCCATTCGCCACTTCGTGACACCATCGCCATTCGCCACTCCGTGACACCATCGCCATCTTTAATGCTTTTCTACATAAGGGTATATGTATAGTGATGGTGAAGACCAGGTCTACCATAAAAACCGGGTATAAGAATGCGAGGCTTTATTATTACTCAAGGCGTATAATGCTTTTCTACATAAGGGTATATGTATAGTGATGGTGAGGACCAGGTCTACCATAAAAACCGGGTATAAGAATGCGAGGCTTTATTATTACTCAAGGCGTACAATGCTTTTCTACATAAGGGTATATGTATAGTGATGGTGAGGACCAGGTCTACCATAAAAACCGGGTATAAGAATGCGAGGCTTTATTATTACTCAAGGCGTACAAAGCTTGAGGTACAAGCCCGGCCCAAACACAAAGATCGCAATCGGGTATAAGAATGCGAGGCTTTATTATTACTCAAGGCGTACAAAGCTTGAGGTACAAGCCCGGCCCAAACACAAAGATCGCAACCCAATGGATGGGTTATAGTTGAATATGTATGCTACTGACAAGAATTGAACCCAGGTAAAAGAGTTGAAAGTATGAGATCAAGACCACTAGACCGTAGTGCTTGTCATGTCCTTTGTTGCCCCTGTTAGGTATCCAGACCCCATATTTATAGCCTACTCCCCGGGTCCTCTGCCGTCCACGTGTGCGTCCCAAGATCGACACCCTTCCTAGCTAGTGCCACGTGCCCCACGTTACACCGCTACACCCGTCATTTCCTCCACACCTCCTGCTACGCCGGCACATCACCTCCCGCGTTCCTTGGGACACGCACGCATGGGAACCACGTCGCGGTGCACTACCCGTGCCGAGGCTGGCCAACATCGCCGCATGCTACCCCTACGCGAGGGCGCACGGTGCTGCACACTGCCCCCTGCGCGAGGGGGCGTTGGGGCCGCGCCTGGTGTGCCATCGCCAGCCAATGGTAGCGCGCCGCGCACTGCTCCCCGCGCGAGGGGACGCTGGGGCCGCGCACCAGACGCCCTGGGGCCAGCGCCCCAGTTGGCGACCACCCCCGACCATCAGCGCCGGCCATCCCCTTCGACGGCGACACCCACACCCTATCTTAGACAAATTATTGTGTGGATCATGGTCCACACAATGTTATGTGGAGCATAACAAAAAGTACATTTTTAATATACTAAATGTACATTATTTTTGTACTGAATGTACATTATACAATATAATGTACACTCAGAACAAAAATAATGTACATCCCCTAAATACAATGTACATTATTTTTGTACTGAATGTACATTATTTTTGTACTAAATATACATTATTTTACAGTAAACAAAATATGGTCCACACAATAATAATTGCCCATCTCACCAACCCGCTCCCCTTCGGCCCAATAATGCTAACCCAATAAGTCTTTAGTCCATGCCCGATATCCCCATCATATAGTATTAGGTAAACAAGCAAGCTAGCCCCTCTTTCTTGAATCCTGATGCGATTGCCTATGGGTTTGCAGAGTGTTTTAAGAGCAAGTGGACCTAGCTTCGCTACTGCTAATATCATTCCTATGCATGGGTCGGTGTACATATTAAAAACAAAAACCTCGCTAATAAACTAAAATTAGATTTATTATGCATAAATATGCTAATAAAATTTACACATTATGGCTTAGGAAAATTCTAATTATTTACAAAGAAGTTTTTAAAAATGTGTAATGTTGAGAGATTAATTTTTTTTTTTTATTATAAAAATGTGTAATGTGGTTTAGGAAAAAACGCGAGTAATTTTCGCAACTGTTTCTTTAACAAACGGTCGCGGAAAAGTATTAGTTTGAATATTGAAATGAGTTTTTTCCCAAAATGGTCCCTCGATTATCGCTCATTCTCAATTTTACATTTCGACTTTCAATTGCACTCAATGTAGTCCCTTGACTTCTAAAAACTACCCCAAATTAGTCCTCCGTTAGATTTTGCGTCAACTGGATGTTAAGATTGGGGCTATTTTCGTCCATTCACTTCCTCCGCGCCTATTACGTCAATCGGAAGGTTAAAAAATATATATCCGTAATTGTTAGGCCCCTTTCAGAGAGGAAGCATGGTCGGAATATTCCAAAGGTTCTGTCGACGGCGACGGAATCAAGTTTTAGTCCAACGGTTTCTCAGTTTCAGACAACAGAACATGGTACCGCCGGAGTGAGACGTCATATACGATGCCATATCCTAGTCTTCCATGCCGTCCGATGAGGATACACACTCAACGCTATAAATTTCCATCATTATCCCTAAAGCCCACTCCTCGAATTGGAGGAAAAAATTCAAAACTTTTTCCTCAACTCAAAAAATCACCCCCTGGAAATTTTTGAACTTCTTCTTTCAATTTCTTTTGGTTTACTCTTCTGATCTGGTGGGAAGAATACGCGACAGAGAAAGAAGAATCAAAAGAAAATGGAGAGAGAGATCAATTTGGGAACAGAGTGGAGGATGGAGAGAGAGATCAATCTGGATCGATTCCGAAGAACCAAACAGAGCCCCATGGAGCCGCTGGGAACGATGCTGTAAGATTCGAGTTAGGGAGAAGATAGTGCTCCGGTGGGACTCGACCACGCCGGAAGAGGCCAGGGAGAAGATGATCTTTGAAGGGGACCGGGCGGAAATCTATCAGTACTTGCACGCCGTCGATGAAATCCAACGGTCCATGGTGTCCACCACACTGTTCGACGACCAGAGCAAAGCCAACAGCTTCTGAAATAACTTTGGCAGAATCATCAGACAACCATATAATATTGTTTTTTAACTTTACATGATTATTATACACTTAAAAAGTAAAACGAAAAAGCCAAAGGAAAGGAAGAACTAATTTGAAGAGGATGTAGGTCAGATTCGTCTGAAATCCAAAATATCTAACACCAGAGGATGTGAATGGACGGAAATACCCCCATCTTAACGCCCAGTTGACAGAAAATCTAACGAAGGACCAATTTGGGGTAATTTTTAAAAGTCAAGGGACCACATTGGGTGTTGATAGGGTGTGAACCCCGTGGGCTCGGGGCCCAAGAAGAAAAGAGATAAAGCCCAGACAAAGAAGGGAAGCCCAAGAAGAAAATGGAGCAAGCCCAAAAGAGATACGAGCCAAACCGAGGAGTCGGTTTGGCCCAGGAGTCGGCTCGACCCGGAGGTCGGCACGGGTAGAGGGTCGGACTAACTAGCCGTTATTCCTAATTATCTACCCTTAAAAGTCCTATTTATCTACCTCATCCATAACCTCCCAAATAAAGGCTACCTATTAAGTCTCCCACTTATTACCCCACTAATAACCAAGTTAATACCTATTAACTACCCTACTAAATGGTCCAACGGACACTTTTGGGATGGGCTAGCTATAAAAGGAGGAGAAGACAAGAAGAAAGGGGATCATCCACTCATTCATCTATAAGTGGGAGGACTCTCCCAAGTACTATTCTCCCACTCACTACTCTTTCTCCTTTAAGAAGACATCATTCATTCATACATACAAGCACTCTTCCTACACCACTCTCCCAAGAGAAGGCAATTCATATACACAACAAGAAGATTATCAAGAAGACTCCATTTTACCACAAAGAAGCATACTCCATCTCTATATACAAAATAGCCACACAACATGTACAAAGACACCTACAAAATACATAGTGGAATTAGGCTTGGCACCGCCCAAAAAGGCCCGTGGTTTTCACCTTTCGGTTTCCACGTAAAAATCATCGAGTCATATTTCTTCTATTTTAGTAGCCTTATTATGAAAGGTGTATCCTCCAGCCGAAGGTTGTGTTGGACCTCCTTGGGCCTGAAAACCCAGAAACCATCATGTGTAATTGAAAGTCGAAATGCAAAATTGAGAATGAGCGATAGTCGAAGGACCATTTTGGGAAATAACTCTATTGAAATAATAATATACT